GATTTTAAAAATATGGTATATAGACATAATGGAATTTTATTCCACCATAAAAAGAATCGAGCCTTAACATTTGCAGGAAAATGGATGGGCCTGAAGATCATCAAAGTGAGTTAAATAAGCCAGATTCAAAAGACCCATCACATTGTCCAACAGATATACATTAGCATTCACTTTTAAAAATTAAAAGTAAAATTGTTACCTAAAAGAAAAATTAATAAAATACACATTAGTTCAGTTTTACCTATGAGAAATGACTGTTCAGTTTTTCCTCACTGATGTTCCTTTGTAACAGTTTTATGAAATATTTCTAAAGATTTTAAGGCCACACTTGTGTGAAAATTAATGATGTTTATACTCTGTACTATACATCTTATTTAGCAGTTAAATACAAGTCAAAAGAGCAAGTTTTAAGAAATAATAGAAACCATTTACAGACCGCTAAAGAACATTCCACAGACATATCACCCGACTTTCAGTGTGTCTCTGTAATTAAATCCCTTTAATGTTTATACATTTGACAAGGAAAAAAATGTCAACTTTACCCCACCCTTTCTGTGAAATCTTATAACACTATTAGACCATAAAACTTAGCAGGAGGACTTTTACTGGGCACTGCTAATGGGCTGCTCTGGAAAAAATAGTTAACCCATTTATGTTATCATTGACTAATGTACAAAATTGTATATATTGCTATTCACGAAGGAAATCTCTATGCAGACAGTTGATATGGAAGTCTAACCAATTATCAATGTGAGGTGGACATTAATGCAGAGAAACATTCAGTGCTGAATCTGATCTCAGGTCAAATTCAGTAAACAGTCATGTGATTGAATTACATTAGACATTAGGTTTGCCTTTTGCACTTACTTTAGTTTTCAGATTTCTCACTTCAAGGAGACTGTAAGTGATGGTCTGAGAAGCAGCAAGATAACTCTATGAATGGAAAAAAATGGGTCATCAAATTTTTATGGGGAAGACACTTCTGCTGTGCCTTGATTATGTAATTTCCCTTCCCAGTCTACCTTGCCTGCTACCAAAATATTTAGGACAACTGCAAGCTCACCAAATAGGTGGTGCCTATGCTCAAATTTAATATAATTGTTTTCTATCAAGCCACCATGAGTGTTCAGTTTCTCAATATCATCATTGTCTTAAACACACACACACACACACACACACACACACACAAACATGAACTTACAAGAACACAATCTTAATCAAATCCTAAAACAACTCACCATGTAGATCCCATTTTCTTTGTTTTCTAAGAGAGCAAAGGCAGTTCTGCAGTGGCTGCTGTGAATCAAGTGCCTCCAGCCCCATGCCAGAGCCTCCCATATTGTCTCCATCCTGTTGTTACTTCGCCACAAAATTAGCAGAGTACTAGCACCATATCTCACCTCAGTTTTGTACAACAGGGTAGCACATTTTTTCAATGCTCTCTGTGAATGGAGTTAAAAGGGTGACTGGTCCTGAGTCAAGAATTACATATAAAATATTGTATCCAGAACTGGCTGCCATTTGGGGATGTAATGATGCAATTTGTCATTAGCCTCTTGGATGCAGAGTCCAAAGAACCTCTAAAACACCTTGTCTGCATCTTTTGGTTAGGTCCATTTCTTTCCTCTTGACTTGTCAAAGTATTCTCATCTATGCAATAAAATGAACTCTCAGGCATGATTAATCACATTACTCTCGCTAACTTCTTGCCTACGCATGTCTCAGTCTTAAAATTTTATTTATTTTCTGACAAATTCAACTTGTTTTATATACTTATATGTAAACTTGGAAATAACCATGACTTTGTACTTCTTATAACTCACCATATGTGCATCAATTGGAATGCTGGCTAATATCATGGAGAAGCCCAAGAATCAATTTTAAATGGATGGATGAATGATAAATATTTGAATGTGATTCTTTCAAAGGAGGAGTGGCAGTTGTGCTGTAAGCATAGTCAGGACTACAGCCAGTCTGCATAGCATTGGCTATGGCACTTGAAGCTTCAGATAACAAATTAGGGCTTATCAAGAGAAGAACAGTATATTCTTGATTTTTGGACTTGAGATTGTCTCTAACTTGGAAAGAATTAGAGAGAGTTGCAGCTAGTACTAAAGAAAAAAAAAACAAACCATAAAGAGATGATGATTTTCAAGAGGAAAAAAGATGCTATGTCTCTAGCTAGATATAGAGATGGTATATGCTAAGCACATGGGTGAGGTTCAAAGACAGATAAGGCAAAACCAGCTGTGTTTCTAGATTTCAGGAGCTGACTTGATGCTTCCTTGTTAGCATACTTGACACCAGTTGCAGTGAGGAGGCAGACAGGGGACAGGTCTGGTTTTAAGCTATAGTCATATTTTTCCTGAGGAATTGAGCTATAGTAATTTTTTCAGACAACTCAAAGGCATTGAAGATCTGATTATCCATTTAAATGTGGTCCAAATACAAGATGTGCTGTTTATCTCCATTCCACACTTGACTATAGTTTGGGGACAAAAAATGAGATTGATTACCCAAAAGTGGAAGAACATATTGAGGAAAGAAGGTTTAGGGAATGGTTTTTACATGTTCAGAAGGCTCTACATAGAACACTTCCATCAGTCATAGTGATTTCTTTATCTGAAGCTATGGATCAGGAAGGAAAGCTAAAATAATATGCAAGACCTGTACCTGTCCAAACCAAATGTGGAGTAGAAACATCTGTTGATGCCTGTCACCTCTGCACTCAAAAGAAATGAAATCCAATCAGATCACTAACTCCTTTTAAAAGTAACATGACATAATCAAACTGTGGAAAACTCCATTGTATTGAAATAATTTCAAAAATGTAGGATATTATTTGACTTATTTTTATTCTACTTGTAAGAATATAAGAATGTCACAGTGAACAAAAATTTGGGACTTGATAAAAGTAGAAAAACCAGATTCAACTTTTCTCCATTCTAAGTAAAAGCTCAGCTTGCATTCTTTGAAAAAAAAAAAACTTGTGGCCTAAAATTGACATCCCATGTTTCCAAATTTCTGGACATATTGATTTGATTCAATGGTGATTGTTGTATCAGGTTTCTCAGAATATGTTTGAGTCCTCAACCTAGAGCTCAGTCTACTTTTTTTATTTTATAAGGCCAACCAGTCTATCATAAAAATTAAATCTGTACATGAATTTCATGCTACTATGACTACTACAAGACACTTTTTCTAATTTGCAATAACAAATTTCAATGTGTTTTGAAAGAGGAATGGATTAATTTAGAGGAAACATGAGTAATAGAGTTTCTGACTTAGGATTCTGGATAACAGTAGGTATCTATCTGAACAAATAGTCTAGATACTGAAGGTGACCAGGATGGAATATTATGACTAACCAATTTAGCAGTGTTCCTGTTAACTGTACACCCTGCAAGGACATGCCCAGGTTGATCCAGGAGAAGGTTCTTAAACCTCACTAAAGTTTTGTCAAGAAAAGAATCATAATCATTGCTACATTCCAGATATCTCACTTCCACCATAATAATATGGTCATATCATCAACATGGCCCCTTTATTTTCACAGCTTAGTTGAAATCAGTTACTAAATTATGTTGGGATGAAAAGAAAAGACATTGGTTAAGAGTAAGTTTTAAGTAAATATTTCAATGGAAAACTAAATTTACTTGGAAAGTCTCTAGGGGAACTAGAAATCATAACATAAAGAAGAGGTGAGAGAAACTGAATCCACTCATTACCTTCCCTGAATTATCAGCCTGACTTCTAAATCCTGTAGCTGTCAATCAATGCAATTTTTGTCTTTGTTAGTTAGAAAAACATTTAGACAATACCTCTTGTGGTAATTTAACACAGGATACAATGTCCAGTGTTATAAATGGATGGTGACCATTGTCTTCTCAATAAAATGTATTATCTTTTTGTGGCATCTGTTAATGATCAAGAATAAAATTCAAGGAATCCTGGGCCTCTTGAAAGGAGACATAGTTTCGGTGAGCCATAATGACTGGGTGTTTATCCTGACCTCATAGTACTACTTCCAGTTTATCTCATTTATAAAGAATGAAATTATCCTAGCTCATTACCAAAGGACATAGCTGGGCCTTGTCTTCTTTTATGAGATATGCTAGAATCATCAGTGTCACTATCATCCTGTGAAACTTTACAGCCCCTCCTGTAGCTGTACTAAAATAATAAAGCTTGTGGATGTTATCTCCATCTTCCACAGCTGGGGTTTTTGGGTTTCTGTCTGTGAATAAGCATTTCAGTGTGGTCACAAGGTGGAGGAAATACCATGTACACACTATTTCCCAAGTGCAGTTGCCAAGAATGAGCTAATTGTAATTCTCCACCCCATACAATGCATCTCAAATTTTCAAACACAGGCCTTTCTGCATTGATCCACCTTTATGCGAGGATAGTGTGTGTTCATTTGTACAACCTCTCTGTCTAAATATATTAGAAATATGTTTAAAATAAGGTCATAAGATTAATAAAGCATCAGGCCACCATTTTGTAATTTAATTTCTTACAGGGAGTAAACTCAAAATTCAAAGTTTAAAACCTGTTAAATGAATATATAATGTAAGCTGTTGCATTTTTTTCTGGGAAATTTCCCTAAAGTATATTAAGAATAATTTGTTCTGAATAAATTAATAAGATTAAATGGTTTTTAAATTTATTTTTCAAGTTTATCAGGGCAGGAATTACAAATGTGTTTCACCTCACATGTCAGTTCCCAACTACTTAATAATGGCAATGTATATATATATGTTAGGAAATGTTCTAAGGCTGAGGCTAGCCTAGCAAAAAAAGTGTTATAATAGGATTGTATTTTCTAAGGACATAAGTCAGGCAGGATGTAAGATGTCTATTTGACATCCTTACAAATAGTAGGAAGAAGAATTAAAATTTAAGGTGTATACTTAGACATCACTAGAAGTGTATTAGTCTACACTGGCAGTATCAATTACCTAAAAAGCCAAATGAATGTCATTTTATTCATCCTGTAGGTCAATGCATCCCGTCAAGAAACCAAATTGACAGAAGAATGTGATCTTCTCATTGAAATTATTCAGCAAAGAAGACAAATTATTGGAACAAAGATTAAAGAAGGCAAGGTACGATTTCCTCGACAGAAGGGTTTTGTATTTCTCACCTGGAGAATATGTACTTTCTCTTCAGCAGCTGTAGCTTTGAAAAACAAAACTGACACTTTCTGTATTTGCCATAGCCCCTTCTTAATTATCTACCTTGGTCCATTTTGTGTTGCTGTAGTAAAATACCTGACACAGAGTAGTAAAGAACGAAAAGAGAAATATTTGGCCCATAGTTCCTGTGATTGAAATTTCCAAATAGAATGACACCATGTTTGATAAGTGCCCTCTGTGTTGAGAATATAGTTCATCCTACTGCATCTTCATTTATCATGTGGACTCATCTCTTATTCCTTCTATCTTCTACTGTCTCAAATGCCTGGTTTCCTGCTACTGTTAATTGGTAGTATGTACAAGGAAGATAGTTTGTTTGCTATTGTCACATGGTTGCATGCAAGAATCGATACTTTATACACCCATATAAATTTCTTTAGAAAATTTCTTTTTTTAATATTAAATTGACAAGTTATACTTGTATATATTGTTGGATACAATGTGATTCTATGGCTTATGAATAAAATATATAATAATTAAATCAAGTTAAGTAACATTCATCACCTCAAATACTTATTTTTATGGTGATAAATTCTTAAATTTAATGCTCTATAAATTTGGAAATATACAGTAGTTTACATTTTGTGTATTTATTAATCTGTGCAATATATATCAAAATTAAAAAAACCCACCTCTCTTATCCTGTTTAATTGGCTGTGTACTCTTCTCATAATAGTTTCTATTGTGCTATTACAAATTACCAAAAACTTGGTAGCTTAGAACCTTCTTATTGATTATCTTACTGTTCTGTAATTTAGATGTCTGAAAGCAGTCTCACTGTGTTAAAGACTACATGGGTTAAAGGCAATTTTGGTAAGCTATTCTTGCTTTTTTCAAGCTTGTGGAGGCCATACACTGGTCCTTGGCTCACAACTAAGTCATTAGTATTCTGCCTTCTGTTTCCATCCTCCTATATACTTCACTAACATGAACCTTCCTGTCTCTCTCCTATAAAGACCTAAGAGATTATGTAGAAATTATCCATATAATCCTGGACCACCTTAATTCCTCAAGATTCTTAACCTAAACATCTACAAAGTTCCTTTGGCATGGAAGGTAGCATATTTAAAGATTCCCAAGGCCCAGATATGGACCTCACTGAGAGCCCATATTGAGATTGCAATGACACTTTGACATACCTTCGTAGCAAGCATACTTACTTACCCTTACTTAGCTATAGCTTGAATTTCTTGGCATGGGATTTCCCTTTATGAGCTAGAGGAAAGTAGTAAAAGGTATTCCAGTTTGGGCCATGATTATATGTTGAGTTCCTTTTTTGTAGCACTCACTCTACTATAGACATACAGCATTAATAGAAATGGTGCAGAGTGAAATAAGAGAAGCATTTCTGCAAAGCAGAAATAGGACAAAAGTACAATGCCAAAACTGTGGCTTTCTCGGCACCAGCTTGGTTGAGAAGATGCAAGTATACCTGCACTTCCAATGTCTGTGCCTAAAAAACGCTCTTGATGCTTTGTAGGAAGGATATAGAACTGCTTTGGATCTGATGGAGGGCAGAAACCAGGTTTATGCCTTAGCAACACAGATTGCAGAAGGCTTCTCATTCATTACAAGGAACAGAAAAAGAGCATTGCCAGTGTCTGCCTGTCATCATAGGTTTTAGCAAACTTCAGTTCTGAGGTTCTGGAACAAGGCAGTTGTTAAGAGGATCTGTGCCCCACAAATTCTGTGCCTGGTTAGGTGAAGGCAACTGTAAAACCATTAGAGTAGACCGAGGAGAGCAAGAAGCTATCTTCAGATTCTTTTCTTTAAAACTGAAATGTTCCAAAGCCAAAAAGAAATCTTCAATTTCTAAAACTACAGCCAACAAAATCAGCAGCATTGTCTTGTTTCCAGTGAGATTAGTTTTGCAGAAGAGGACACAGGCTTGAAAAGAAACAGTTCAGAGATAAAGAAACCACAGACAAAAAGGACTCAAAGAAGAAACACAGAGACAGGAATGCAATAAATAAGTTTTGGAGGTAAACTCATACACAATTATGTGACAGAAAACAGCTATAGAAGAAATTGGGAAACTGAATTTTGGCCTCCACCTAGAGAATTCCATAAATGTAAGAAGAGACAAAAGAGTATGAGTGACATTCAAGCATGACAGATGTCCATGGACTCAAAGATTAAAGTTAGATTGGTATTTTACATGCTAGTCCTGACCATACTAGTGATTCATCACCTGGAGATTTAAAAACATTCATTGCTCGTTAAAATGCAAATTACTGTTGCTCTGCCAATTACAGCTCATTAACTAGAATATTGGAAGATGTGCCCAGACATCTAGAGTTTTCCTTTGAAAGATCCCCAGCTGATTTTTTTTTTGAATATAGTGTTTGAGAATCTCTGATGACACTGTAAAGTGACCTATAATTAAAAGTATGTCCTACATGGAAGTTCACTCTAGAACACTGTGGTAGTTTCACAGGTTGTTTTCAATATCTTTTACATCAATATATGATGTTTAGGTTTTATATTTCTTGTCCTTATATATCACCTTGAATTTCCATATCCTCATAGGTAAAACAGAAAAATATGAAATTGAAGAGTGGTCATTGTTACATTTGTGATACATGTGGTCTCTACTTCATATATTCAAAGGATAAGAGCGTGGCATGAAATGAATCCAAAAGAATAGCTTGACCTCATTTTCTTTTGTGAGAATTGTATTAAACACCTTCAACTTGGCCATGCAATTTAAATTATTCTTTTTGTTATATAATTAAATATTCCATTCATTTGGTTTATTGTAGAAACTATTAACTTATTTTTCCTCCTGGAATTTTCCCTTCCTCTGGCAGTTTGTAATAGAAGTCTTTTAACATCCTGAATCAGACTGGAGGGCTGCCTTAACCTTGACTTTCTTATATAATGTTGCCAGAAGCTCTGTTCTATTTGGTATAAAATGATGTTATTTTGTTCAACTTAGATACATAGCTATCCTGATAGGGACTAGAACTACCATTATAATGAACGATGTATTTTTGCCATGCTTGAGATCACATACTCTTAGCTGTCAAGTTTGGACATTTCATTCTGACTCATTATTTTCATAATTCTTTATAGCCTTGCCTGAAATCTTGGGCTCAGCACCTCTCAATTCAGCTGTAGTTTCCTTTGTCTGCTACAGTACACATTTGGAATTGGACATTCCCTAGAGTACTACAGATCTGACATCTCCTTCCTTCCTTTGCTTCAAGATTAGAGGTGTCCTGGGATGATAGTGACGACTTGGAGAAAGCAAAAAATTTCTTGAAGTTAGCTGGAATTCTGGAGGGATCCTGGGCCTGCCTTGTAAGACAGATTAACCAGGCTTCCTCCCTACCCTTTAACCCAAGGCTATTTTCCATTCCAGAATTATCAGAAAACCAGCCAAAACCTGTCTCCTCTTGTGTAGGTGGGGCTAGTAGGCACGAGGTGATTCCAGTTATTGGTCTAATTTTAACTTGGGTCCTGGCCGGAGGGCTTCAGCTTATAGCCCATTTCAAACACCAAAGCCACTGTCAAGTGGCTTACCCTGGTCTTATCTTGGCCTGACTGAGAGGTTATAGATGATTATGGTTGAGGGTTTTTTTTTTCATGCTAGACAGAATCAGGAACTAGAATGTAGATTGTGAAACAACTATGTGTTTTATCCCAAATGGGAAATACTTATCAAAATAGTTAACTTATCAAGTGAGCACAAAGTGACTGGAAGTGACGTTTAGTGAGAGGAAATGGCCCAGCTGTGCTGTTTTTGGCTTTCTCTCATCAGTTCAATAAGAAAAATATTAATCAATGGGAAAATGTTCCCTCTCTGTTAATTTAATACACAAGTTTTAGGCAGTATGGAAAATAGGAATACTTAATACTTTTATGCCACAACTTTATTACATGGATTACAAAGAACTTTTTAGAATAACGTTCTTTTAATTAAGCCTCAAATTTACACTTTCAGAAATGCTTTATTTTCTTAAGGGCACACTGAAATCCTGAGATGGAGAAAGTTCCATAGTTCTCTAAGTTCCAGAAGCAATTATGTAGGATAGTAGAGGGAAGAACTTCAGTAACTCTTTGTCACTTGCCACTGAACAACACTTTTTTCCCCATCAACAGAGAAGTAATTAGCAATGTAGTGTTTCCTCATAAAACAAATTACTAATGCTTCTCCAAGGACAGAAAGTTTAAGTTCCATAATTGTGCCTTCCAGATTTCAACCTCTCTCTGCTTAGACTTAACAAACTGCTTACCTCTGAAGGGTCCAGCCCTGAGCCGTCTCCCAAGTGAGCCTAATGTGTAACCACACCTGCCATGCTTCTTTTGTTCTAGGTGATGCGACTCCGCAAACTAGCTCAGCAGATTGCAAACTGTAAACAGTGCATTGAAAGGTCTGCATCACTCATCTCCCAAGCAGAACATTCACTGAAGGAGAATGACCATGCCCGTTTTCTACAGACAGCAAAGAATATCACTGAGAGGTGGGTGCAGAGACAGCTGGGAAGTTTTCAGGCTGCTGATTGCTTATATCTGGATGTGACTGGTTGGCCTTGCTCTCAAATTGACTTGTTTTCTGTTCGAGGTTGAGTATCAGAGAGAATAGAAGCTTTTGCTGTTTTGCTCCAGCTGAGAATGCTTCCCTTAGACATAACAAAACCCTTTCCAATAACAGCCCACAGTTCAAGGTCTTCATATCAACAGTTCACCAGTTAGACTAAAACCAACCATTTTATGTGTGGAGGAGTGCTGGGGTGGGGGTGGGGGATGGTACAGAAATAGCATTTGTTGTGAGTCTCAAACCTGATCTTATCATATTCTTGTTAACAAAGAATGGAGGTTTAGGCAAAATACATAAAAGGCAAACTTATCTTCCATTGCACGGTTCATTTGTCTAAAGAAAACAACTGCATGGGTGTAAAGAAAACAACTGAGCGGGTGTTGCCCTCTGTTAGTCTTATATTTACTTGACTGAGATCACCTGACATCACCTGAAAAGGCCAAGGTTGATTAACGTGGGAGAGAAAGGTCAAATGACCAACCTCCCACTGCCTTATTTTAGAATGCCTTCTATTCCTGGGGAGGAAAACTAGAAATGGTGTTACTTGTATAGTCACTTCAGCAGTAAGATGGGTGAAGGTGAGTCTTCTCTTGGTACACTGACTTGTTTAGTATAGAAATCACTCATTTCCATGGGCATAGACCCATATGATGAATCCAGCGGATCCAAAGAGAATGTTGACCTGTATACAGCCCATGCCACATCAATGAAATCTTGAGACAACACCAAACACCTTGGCTTTCCATTTATTCTAATTCCCAATTGCCCTTTATGCAACACCATTACAGAATTGTGTCATGAAAAGGCCCCAGAGAACTCATTCATTCTGGCCTCTATCCTAGAGCAGAGATCTCCTTACTGTTTCAGAAAGTAAATCATTTTCAGCTTTGCAGGCTATAAGGGATTTATTACAGTTACTCACTGCTGCCTGGGTAGCTCCACTTTAGCCACAGGGAGCAAGTGGGTGTGGCTGTTTGCCAATGAATCCATTCACAAAACAAGTTGCAGGTGTTCCTTTACCAACCCATGGTCTTTAGAGGGGAAACATGCTCACCATCTTAATCACTTGAATTTCTTCAAGAAAAGAGAAAAGAAACTAACACAAGTGCTTGCTTGGGTCAGACTCCATTTTCACCATGCTTGAAGAAGATACAGTATTTTTATAACCCTGGTCTCTTACTGGTCAGCTGGCTTCACTGTCTTCTTATAATTGAGAAAACTTTGTTTTGCAGCTAATTAGCTTCTTATCTCCCCTGAAGGACATGAATAGCTGCTGCCCTTAAGATGTTCTCTTCTCCCTATTTCAAGAGATGCAGGTTCCTTTCCTTATGGCTCCTAGATTTCAAGGGTCTGATTCTTTGCACTTCTCATCTAAACCATGTCTACTTTCTTTATTCTCACATTAAAAACAACAACAAAAACCTTAAACACCGCTGCTTTCCATTGCACTGAATACAATGTAAAGATGGTTTACATGCAGGTCAGAGACCCCCAACTGAGATCTGACAGTACACTTCTCTGTCTATGAAAGACCAAGCTGCAAGACTGTTATATATATGCAGAGGGTCTAGATCAGTCCCATGCTTGCTTCCTGATTGGAAGTTAAGTCTCTGTGGGCCCCTATGGGACCATAGTTAGTTGATTATGTAGGTTTTCTTGTGTCTTTGACCTGTCTTGGACCTAGAATCCTTCCTCCCCATATTCCACAAGATTTTGTAAGCTCCCCCGAAATGTTTGGCTGAGAGTCTCTGCATCTGTTTTCATTGGTTGCTAAATAAAGCTTCTCTGATGGCAGTTATGCTAGGCTCCTATCTGCAAGCATAGCAGAATATTATTAACTGTGTCAGGGGTAGGCTCCCACTTATGGCTTGGGTCTCAAGCTATGACAGTCATTGGTTGGCCATCGCCTCTATTTCTGCTTCATCTTTACCCCAGCACATCTTGAGGGCAAGACAAATTGTAGGTCAAAGGTGTAGTGCCTGGGTTGGTGTCCCAATTCCTCCTCCATTGCAAGTCTCACCAGGTTACAGCAGATGGCTGGTTCAGGTTCCATATCCCCCATTGCTAGGAGTCTTAGCTAGAGTCACCCTCATAGATTCCTAAGAGTTTCCATTGCCCTAAGTTTCTAGCTAGTCTCAGAGATGCTCACTCCTCTTCCCAGTCCAATTGTCTCTGCGAGTATTCTCCTTGTTCTTCCTGTCTTCTCCGTGACCTGATTCCTCCTGTTCCCATCCCCACCCCAACTCTTGACCAGTGTCACCCCTCCCACTAGTCCATTCATGATGCTTACTCTAAAATTAATTTGAATAATAAATTCTCTTTATCATGAGAATGCTAAGAAAAATTTCTTCAGAACAGAATGAATTTTCAAATTATCTGGAAATGTTTTTCATTTTGAGGTGATATTTTAAATTTCTTACCAGCACAGACAGTTCAAGGGTCAGTCAGGGTTTTCTTAAAAAAAGAAAGAAAGAAGGAAAGAAAGAAAGAAAGAAAGAAAGGAAGGAAGGAAGAAAGAAAGAAAGAAAGAAAGAAAGAAAGGGAAAGAAAAGAAGAAAAGAAAAGAAAAGAAAAGAAAAGAAAAGAAAAGAAAAGAAAAGGAAAGAAAAGAAAAAAGAATTCCAGTTGGCAACTCTGGAGAAATGTTACTTGGTTCTAATAGTCAGATCCGATGTGTGAATTTTGGAATGCTGTCTTAGGATATTGAGAGGCTAAAAGATGTTGTAACAACACTACATTTCCAGGGCCAAATGTGTTTGGGAAATCTTGAGCTGACCAAAGATCAACACATTTTGTTTTTGTGGTACCTTGATGTTTTAACCATGGTGGTGTGCAGTGTTTGGCAAAGGACCCATGAACAGGGTCTCTGTAGACATGGCCACCTTCTGGAATACTGGCTCTGTGTATCTAATGACTGAGTGTTCTGCAAATTAGAGATACCAGAGCAGAAACTCATCAATAGGAGTAATGGATAATCCCTCTACACATGAAACACATATCCACCTACACACAGGCACATACACACATGGTAGGGGAGGTGTGGGGTGTAAGTATAAAGCAAGGAAGCAAAAAGAAGTCTATCACTAACAACCCTGTGGATGTTGGCAGAATAAAAAAGCAGAAGATGGGCAACAAGGATTTGGGAAATAAAAACATCCCCTAAAATGTTGAATTTGGCAGCGTTCCTTTTACCTGTCACTCCAGTGGAGGATTTGAAATTGTAGCCAAAGATAAGCATCGTTCCTTCCACCAAGGAAAGAAAACCTGTAGGTGTTAAAAGCTGCAGTAATCTCCAAAGATTTCTTCTGTCAGTCTTTGCCTTCCAGGCTAGGCATTATCTTCCTCCAGCTTCCCACTCAAGTTTCCCACTGTCCAAATAGTGGGAGCATTTTCTATGTCATTTGATTTAAAGAAAACATTTTACTTATTTTTTGTTGACCTGAGAAGCAAAATAAATTTGGGAGTGCAATCTATTTCGGATGTGCCTGAACAAAGAGGCTTCTGCTTCCAAGAAGGGAACTAATATAGCAAGATTATCTGTACTCAGATTGGTCTCAATTGACACAAGATCTGGTTTGCAGGAGAGTCTAAGAGAAAGCCATTGTAAGTTTGGTACTTGCTTCCTCCAATTCTCCCAATTGAGGAATATGAAATAGAACTCATTGAGTTTTTTTTATTATTATTTTAAAATATTTTGAGGCATGCAAATGATACTAAAGCATATCTTTTTCTTTTTCTTTTTTTTTTTTTTTGGTTTTTCGAGACAGGGTTTCTCTGTGTAGCTCTGGCTGTCCTGGAACTCACTCTGTAGACCAGGCTGGCCTCGAACTCAGAAATCCACCTGCCTCTGCCTCCCAAGTGCTGGGATTAAAGGCGTGCGCCACCGACGCCCGGCTTAAAGCATATCTTTTAAATTGACTGCATTCATCCTAATTTTTTGGACTCTTTGTTATATGACACACTTTTCATGAGTATTTGTTAAAGGTACATTTGAAATAGCATCCATTTCTGTATCCACCCAGCTACATTAGCTATTATAAGACTTTTGAATTTAAATCCTTCAAATGTCACATTTAGTCAATAAAATCATAACATTGTTGCTCTTTAATTAGTCCTTGTGAGCTAGTCAGGAGGTGATGTTGCATTGTCTACAATCGTTTTGCCACTTGAATATTTCATTTATCTAGTTTAAATTGCCTTAGACTTTCTTCCTATTATCAATTTGATTAGGACATTACAGATTAAACAATCTACTTTTTTCCCTAGATAACATTGAACTTTTGCCAGAGATACAGCTGGAGAAACCATATTTGAGTTATTTTGCATATGTATTCTTTTTCATTGTTGCGAAATTCTCATGAAGTAAAATTAACTGGTTATAGAGAACAATTTAAAAGCTACACCTATTCTGAATATTTCATATGACTCATAACCCTTTTGTCTAGCTTTTTATAATATGATGTTGGCATGATTCATGCATATTTTGGCATGTGCCAATACTCCATTCCTGTTTTGTTGCTGTGTACTATTCCTATTGTATGGATAGACTCCTAGCCAAGATACAAGATCTTTGTGAAAATCCAAAGCTTAAAACCTATTAAAAGACATAAGAGTGGCTATAATGCCTAGGATAACTTGCTGGTATCAAACTTTTCTCATGAAATGGGAGAGTACACACCTGAAGTCCTCCTTACTATTTGTAAGCGAGCTCTGAAATCTTGTGTAAATGAGCATCAGTGATCTTTATAAGAAAATAAGTGATTACAGTTATAGCGGCAAAGTCATTTCAACTTCAGGTTTCTTTTTTGCAAAAAAAAAAAACAAACCATAGTGTCCTAATGTTTATGAAACTCAACAAAAACATGAAACACATCAAAATAAGTCTAGCATCATTTTCTATGCTCAGAAGTAGAATTATTCAAGCCATGGTTTTCTTTGTCTAAAGATATTTATTTGCATTTTAGAATTCACTAGAATGTTCTGCCATTAGTAATTGAACTTTCCAAATGAACTCAAGAGCACATAGGAGACAGACACATATACCTTGCTTTATATTTTATACAAGCAAGTGCTCACCAGAAAACCTGAGTGTGGAGAAAAAATTGTGTGCCTACTGGGGAATTTCTGAGAAAGCTTATGAATATTTTCCATGGCATCTGCTGGGAATATGGTGGGAAAAAATTGAATAGAAGGAGAATGAAAAAGAGCCAGACAAAACCCCCTTTTAATGTTTATTTTAGTGAGAGGCTAGTAATTGATTAAACTAATCCAATATCTGGAAACATTCTTTTTTAATCTTCACTTTGCCTTTTATGCAGTTTGAAATTTTGGAGACTCCCCTTTGAAGTGGAGCAGGGGCAAGTCTGAAAGGAACAAACAGTTTCCCAGACAGATGTGTGAAGAAATGCCCGAAGCTATGTGCTTCTTGCTGGAGTTAGATGTGACTGGGCTAGGCTGTTAAATATACAGCAACATGAAATATGAATATTCTTTTGCCTCTATTGGGACATTTTTCAATAGTATAAAGAGGGATAGCACAGTGTTACTTTTCCCAATTCCTTTGCTTTTTCTTTAAGTTTGTTTTGTGTTAGTGTATTACACCATTTCAAGAGGGTATTTTTTAAAATCCTGATATTTCTTTTCCTTTTATTTTTTTCCTCAGTCCTTCACAGTGATGATAAAAGCCACCTTGACATTTCTTAAAACGTTGTTTTGTTTAAATTACAGAGTCTCCATGGCAACTGCATCCTCCCAGGTCCTAATTCCTGAAATCAACCTCAATGACACATTTGACACTTTTGCCTTAGATTTTTCCCGGGAGAAGAAACTGCTAGAATGTCTGGATTACCTAACAGGTATTATCTTACTGTCTTTTATGTTCTCTCTGGTACAGTGTACATTCACTTTGCCATTGGATAAATTATTTTTTAAAACTCATACATGTGCTTCAGTCTTTGAAATGCTATCTAATAGTCCTATAAAGATTAATGTCCACACTGTATTTTTAGCCTAAATAATGCAGACTAAGTATAGATTGGGACAAAAAAAATAAAGAGAATCCCAGTTGCTAAATGTGTCCTTACCACCATTTCCTAGCTCTTAACATGGGGATGGTGAAAGTAGTAGCACTTCTGGCCATCAGAGACAGTAAAGTTTCATGAGTATCTTTCACTATGATAGAGCATATCTGACTCATAGTATATTAATGGTATGAAAATAAAAACCACATGAATAGCTGGCCATCTATACCTCTCTATCTCTTTGTATTTGTGATCTTATCTTAGTTGTCACAGTATCAATTTGGGTAAAACAAAATCTTCATTTTAGAAATGGTAAATTTTAGCCATCATGCTGAAGGTCAGATACAAAGGGAGTGAATACAATTAGGATCTGGCTTTGTTCTGTATGAACTGTACAGACCTCTGCATTTTCCAGGAAAAAAACTGAATTTCATGTTGCTCTGGCAAACATCACATAAATCACATTGCAATTCCAGATGCCACAGTTCATCCCTATACTTTCTACTTGGCTTTCCTCTCCCTTCCCACCATCCCTCCCTCCTTCTCTCCCTCCCTTCTTCTTCCCTCTTTCCTTTCTTTCTTTTTAGCTGAGAAAACAATAAGGAAAAGAAACACAAAGAAAAGTTGTGGCTACCTATATCCCTAGGAGTTAATCTAAATCTTTCCTTAGGTGTTAGCCTTTGAAACAAGAGCTGGACTCAATGGTTGATAGAAAGAATGAGGGCCATTCAGACAAGTTATTTGTGTTCCTCAAAGCCACCAGGACATGTGACTTCAGGAAAGCACCATGTATACAGTGAAGCCAGATGTGCTCTGTACTGAGGACATAGAGCCTCCTAGAAACTGAATCCCTAACTGAGCATGGTGTTAGTTTCTCAACTCCTAGCCAGTATGTGCATGTTTGTGAGAGAGTGATTGGGGAGGGTGGAGCCAAAGAGAGGGAATATTGTGTAGCATTTGTTTTTGTATTATCTGGCTAAAAAGCAAGGAGTTACACAGTACATGAATGGTTTTTTCCCCTTGTTAGAACTCCAACTGCCCTTTTTAGCCTTTATTCTGCATTTGCAAGCAGAGCAAGTTATCCAACAAGACATCTCCTTTTATTGTATAATTCTCTCTTTCAAATGTACAGCTCCCACTAAAGAAGAAAGAGTTTGATTCACAAACCATTTACTCTATGGAACCAAACTTTGTTTGAAATATTTATGGGCGTAATGCCTCCTTTCCTTACCTTTTGCCTTTGAGTTTTGTTTAAACTATTACCATCTAGTAGAACTTTCTTTGGTGATAGAAATGTTCTGTGTTCATGATAGCCAACATATTAGTTATTGAAAACCTGAAATGTAGACGATGAATTGTGATTTTTTTAAAGAAAAAAAAAACTGAGCTGAATATAATTAGAAGTTAAACAGCTACATGGTGCTCATGGCCACTAAATTACAATGCAATATATGACCCATATTTTCTTTTCCTGCTCTGACATCTTCATTTGCTGTCTTTATACAACATGAATACGCTACTTACTACTGATGTTTTATTCAAAAGTACAGGGAAAAGGAAGGAATAATAGCAAAATGTCTTGGCTAGCCGAGTATGGCTTTGTTTATTATTATAAAACCAAAACTCTTCCACAAAAGACTTACCTAGCAAGTTTTCACTAAGTCTCATGGACCAGATCCATGTTACAAGGCCAGAGGAAATTAGAAAATTAGATATTTGCCCAGGAACAAGATGTTTTTGTACCAAATTTTCTTGCTATACTTGTCTGATCAACAAAAATGTGTCTTCATTCCCCAACAATTAATAGTATATTCAAAATATATGTTCATTTCAATTTCTGTAGGAAGAGGAACTCATTGACTAAAAAGGAAACTGTGAAAGTAGTCTGCACAAAATTGTAACACACATGCCATATGTCATCACAATGGCTGTTTATGCCAATCTAATGGTCATATCAGATACCTTCGATTTTGCTTTTTTTGAGCCATTAACCCTAAACTCAGTCCACTTGTAGGTATAACATCAATTCTTGCCAGAATATACAATACTTGGCTGATAACTGCCAAGTCCAAATAGTTGATCCAATATTTATAAGCAGGAAACAAAGTGTTTGTGGCATATTAGTCCACCATTCCTTGTGAAGTGTTTGTGATGAAAGCAAGAAAATAACAGTTCTGGTACTGATTGTTTGGGTATTGAAATTGGCAGCATGCTGCAGTTTGCATTTACAGAAAATTAGAAATTGACTTTGCAGGACAAACCCATTGGGCTTACAATCAAAACAGGGCTAGGCTGCCTGGCTGTGCAAACAAGATTTTTTTTCCTATGACATGCCTCTAAGTGGTATGTCAAGTTAATAACCCATAGAGGTGACATTTCCTTCCTGGTTACAGCTACTGCCATGTGGCTCACAGCTACTTGCCTATTTTGAACTTGCATTTGCTCTCTATTTAATCATATATTACTAGGTGGACAGAAAAAAATCTATGTTTCCACAATGGTTAATGGAGAAAGAATTCAATTAACTATTTGGCTTACAAAAGACTAAGTTGTTTTTCATGGGTTTATTCAGCAGTGATCTCACAGGCTTTATGACACAGCTGGACCTGCATGGCATACATTTCCTGATTGGTATCACTTATTCTTGCAAATCCAAGTCACACTGCTCAAAACTATATTTTGCATGTGGGCTCTTCAGAGGACAGATGCTCAAACACACATTTCCAGGAAAATGTTTGAAGAATTATGATGAATGTTTATTTTGTTCTTTTGAATTTACTTGTTTTTCATTTATGCGTATTATTTTGAGATCCACTGTGTAAGCTACTCTACTCTATTACCTAGAGTATCCTATACTCATGTTCTTTTTGGTCCTGCCTTCCAAGTATTGAGATTACAAATGAGTACTATCATACCCAGATGAGTCCCTTTTTTAGATTAATGGAGAGTCTGTGAAATTCAGCAACAGGCAAAGCTTCTTGTGACTTGTGCTAAATGTCAGGTGTCAAAGGGAAAGCAAAGCAGAATTTTAAGTTTACCATTTCTATAAAGGCCCCGCCCTCTTAGGGTTTCTTTACAATTTACCAATTCTAATCAGAAACTAATCTAGAACAGAAAAGGCCTATGCAATGGTGTAAGTAAATCCATAGAATGCAAATACATTTCTCTCTTTGAAGTTCAGCTCCAGTATAAGAGGAGTATGAAGAAAAGCTGTGGATCAATTCTCTAAACCACAGGCTGGTAAACTTTGACTGGAAAAGGACATATGGCAGATGTCTTAGGTTTTGCAAGCCATATGCTTGTAACTACCCAGCTTTGCTGTTGCATAAAAACACCATAGATGGAGAATACATGAGTGAGTCAGGCTATGTCCCAATAAAACCTTATTTACAAAAATAGCTGCTGTGAGCTGGAGAGGAGGCTTAGTGGATAAGAGCACTAGATGTTCTTCAAGAGGACCAAGGTTTGATTCCCAGCACTCATGTGGTGGCTGTAATCTTATGCCCTCTTATGGCCTCCACAAGCATAGCATACACATGATACATAGACATACATGCAGGCAAATAATTGTTTACACAAAATAAAATAGTAAAAAGAATAACTGTAGTTTGTAACCCTCTGCTTTAAAATATTATTGCCAGCACAAAACACTTGTAGCCTTGTCTTTTCTTCCTTAATTATTCTCCTCATAAAATTAATCGAGAGTAAGTGATTTAGAAATCACATGTTTTAATATGATTTAAATTTCTGAGCTGCTGGTTTGGTGAAACAAATAAAACAAAAGGTATCTATAGTGATAAAAGCAACCCAATGCAAGCATTTATGATTTCTTAATAAATGAAAATATATTTCTAAAAGATGACTGTTTACTAAATGAGATAAAAATAGGAGTGCACTATTAATTTTAGCAAGACATTAAATATCTATTAAAGGAAAAATTTTAAATTATTTCATTGATTTATTAGCATATAACAGTGATATTTTCAAATATCTGGTGTCATGTAATGAGAGGTTGACATAGTAGATTTCAGGCCAAATCAGGCCCTGTGGCTATTTTGTAAATAAATTTTTATTAGAGTATGGCCATCCTCATTTATGTACAAATTATCTACATCTGTTCTCATGGCAGGGTTAAGTAGTTGCAAGATTAAAGGTCTGTCCTACAATACATAAAATATTTAGCATATAGTCTTTTACTAGTAAGGTTTTCTAGCCCCACCACCAAAAGTGGATAAAATTATGAAGGTTAGTCTCGGTTACTTTTTCTTTGATGTATTTTCCTTATACACAAGAAGCTATTGTTTTCTTACTCTCACAAATATATTCTCATGATAAATTGAAATGATATCTTAATGGCTAGCTGGCTTTAGCCACACTGCTTATAAAAAAACAACAACAAACAAAAAAACCCTATTCCATAAGTAGACAACTAAACACTTTGGAACCAAAATCTCCTTTTATATGATAGTAGTTCTAGTAGACCAGTTTAGAAAAACTTCCTCTAACAGTTAAATATCTCTGAATTGTGATCCTAATGGTATCTGCTGCTCCACTGATATGCGTTCTTGATGTCAACAGCTCCCAATCCTCCCACAATTAGAGAAGAGCTCTGCACAGCTTCCTATGACACCATCACTGTCCACTGGACTTCGGATGATGAATTCAGTGTGGTCTCTTATGAACTCCAGTACACCATATTTACTGGACAAGCCAATGTCGTTAGTGAGTATCTCATGGCTCATTTACTTCTCAGTTTGATGACTCTTTTCAGATAACCTGGGTGAAGGAGTATAAACACCAAAAGGAGATGATGAGGAAAGAATAAAATTACAATATTTATTGGTTTCTTTTTCCTGTTCAAGGAATGGATAATGCTCACTTGTATTGCAGTAACGAAAACAGCTGGTCAAATAGCAATGAAATTAGCAACCTCTGGAAAACCACGTGGATGTAGTTTGATAAAACAAGCTGGTAACAACATATACACTGTAAATCTATTTATCAGTTTATAATTTAAAGATCAAAACAAACTATTTGTATGTAAAATGTATTCTTAGAGGTTAAAAGTATAAATATTAATTAGAATGTTGGTTATATCTTGGATGGAATAGAGAAAAATGTCACTGGGAAGAAATATATGGCCAAACTAGGGATATCAGCTATCAGTAAAAGTGTTTATCTTGCAAACATGGAAAAAAAGGGTTGAAGTCTCTAGTACCCATGTAAAATAACCAAGCATAGTGGCAGTTATCTGTTACCCCAGTATTGGGGAAATTTGAAAACTATAGAATTCTAGGAGTTCAATGGCTAGCCAGTATAACCTAATCAGCAAGTTGCAGATTCCATGGGGACACTGGGTTAAAAACTAAAGTGGAATAGGTCAAAAGACGACACTCAGTGTTTGACCATAGAGTCCACATACATGTGCACTATGTGTACATACATCTATACTCACACACAAACACGTATCCTGCCGCCTACACACATACATATATACAAAAGAATATATGATGCTTCATAGGACTAATAGCAATTTCTGGATGATAACTAATATGCTTTAGTCATTTTATCATGCATATAATTTTATGTACTATTCTAAATGTTGTTTCAGTTTTCAAAAAAGAAGAAATAAGGAGAAAAATAAAGGAAGGAAGGGAGGAAGGAAGGAAGGAAGGAAGGAAGGAAGGAAGGAAGGAAGGAAGGAAGAAAAAGAAAAGAATTTACTAAAATGAAAAGCTGAAGAATTTTCTAAGTATCTGGTCCCACTCAGAGATGGTTTAGGCTGTTACTTCAAATCTTAGTAACCACCACCTCCTGGGAAGAGCTAGACTTACCTGGGATGCAGAGGGGCTCCTCTGTCACTGATGCTTGTTTGATATTTGGCATTGTGAATGTTATGAACAACTCAAACAGCAATAGCTGGCCATAAAGGTTATAGCTGAGTTATTTAAATAGAATTGTACAAATGGCAAAGGGCTCAAAGAAATTACTTTACAGAGGAAAAAAATCTGAAACTTCTTTAGTGCTTTTTTTTGGTTAGGTTGTGATGAAATACCAGGACCAGAAGCAACTTGTGGAGGAAAGAGTTTATTTCATCTCACACATCTTAACGTTCTCCATCCAGGAAAATCATGATACAAACTAATGAGTAGGCCATGGAGGAGCACTGCATACTGGCTTGCGCCTCATGGCTTGTTAAGCATTCATGACCCCCAGCTTGAGGGTGGCACTGCCCACAGTAAGCTTGGCCCTCCTATACAAGTCAACAATCAAGAAAATGCCCCAAAAGAGTTTTCCACTGATCTATATCATGGGATATTTTCTCAATTAAAGTTCTGTTTTTACAAATGACTCTAGCTCGTATCAAACTGACAGGAAACTAGCCAGTATGGCAATGGATATGCAGAACATATCAGAATAGAATACAGTAAAAGTTGCTTTTCCACAGAGATGTTTTGAATATAGCCATATTAATTTACTGTGATCTTAATAAAGAAAAGAAAACTTCTCTCTCTCAACTGGTCTTTCCTAGTATATGTAGTTCTGAGGTACACAGAACTTTAAATAGAAATTTGCTTGAAGATTAATTATAAAGGCAATACAGAGACATTTGTTTCACAGTGAATAATGTGCAAATTAACTCCCTCTTAGACACTTTTCTCAGATTTCTTTCTCCCTCCATCCTTTCTATTCCTCTCACTCTCCATCCCCTCTCTCACCTTCTTTCCTTTTTCCCTTCCCCTAATTTGTTTGCCTTGGAAGAATTCATATAACTCTTGCAGGTTTTATGAGTGGACAAGTGAGTTCTGAAATGTTATGTCAAGGACAGTTTGGTGACCCATTTTGGAGGGAGCATCAAAAAGAAGTCAAAAGCAGATGTGACTAAAAGACCATGGAGGAGAGTTACGTTAAACTGATTCTTGAAAGGTTGTGGCTACATGGAAGTGACATAAAGATATTTGCAGATAGTTGTGTCAGCTTAAAGAAAACCTACATAGAGTGAAGTAGTAGAGCATATTGGAAGATCTTACTTGATAATGCCTGGCTAGAAAATTCAATGCAAAGGGGGAAGCAGTAAAAAATGAAGTACAAGACACAAAGCTATGAAACTGGCTTCAGAAAGCACATGTCATCAGTCATCAGTCACTTAAGCCCAGGGATAAGAGCTGTATCATATAGAGCCACTCAGCTTTGAATTTTATGTTGGGGAATTGAGCTAGGCAGTAATGGGCTCAGGTGGACAATCTGATTTGCCAGCACTGGAAAGAGTGGAAAGGGATAGGATGGGCCTTTTGAGGGAACTACCTAAAGTGTAGGAGTAACCAGGATCTCTAAGTGATACTCAGCTGACAGGAGATGAAGATACTTCTGAAAAGACTCCTCAGCCTTGGTACCACAATCACAGTCTTTTACATAGTCTAAATGTCTTTGGAGACAAGTCTAAATCACACTTGTTATAAGACTGAATTCTTTTGAAATCATTCTTCTTCTCCAATTTCACAGGTCTTGTTGCATGGCATTAATAAATGGCAATTTTATGACTGCTTGTGTATTTCCATAGCATATGAAGATATTTACATTTTTGAAAACAGTAAATGTAGTAAGAAGCTATTCTATTTTGGCACAAATAAAGAATTGCCACATCTCTTTCTGAAGCAGTATGGCATTCTATTTCAAATCCATGCCCTGATTTATCTGTGCCATCTTTTATTGATGAATACTAGCTCTTTTCCAATCTCTGCAAATATTGCCCCTATGAATATCCTTGCATATTTCCTTTTCATGCATGCAAAATTATATTTCTAGTATAATCTCTTGAGATATAATTGATAAGAAGAGATTATTTGCATTTTAATTTTGATTGGCATTGCCAAATTGCCCTTCAGAGAGGTGACAGGTGATGCTTTAAATACATTTTAGCAGCTGTAGGAGCTTACATTTCACTGATTTTGGACATATGTACACTAAACTAAACAAGAGAAACTCAATTTAAAGCAAGGTAAACATGTATTATCTACATGACTGCATAATAAATCCAAGGTCTAATTTAACTAACGCAAAGCCTTAACACATGAGCTTCTATATTATGTAGTGTAGTAGGAAAATGAAGACAGAAAGATAGAAAATATATTTGTGTCTTCATAAGGCATTATTTTGTATTATATTATTATTATATTATATTGATATTATTAATGATTTTATAATTAATTATAAATATTTATAATTAATGTATTATATTGTTAGTGTTTTAGGTAAACTAAGCTAAAGAAAGGTTGTATCAGACTTAAAGATAGAATGCAAAAGATGGCAATAATGTGGATAAGTGAATATGGATATTGTATAAGTAAACATTGGATAAGTGAATAAGTAGGGACAAATGGAGTTATTTAATATCAAAAGAGCAATTCTTGGTCTATATGAGGACTGTTATATTTCTTTGAAATAACTTTTGTTAGACTGAGAAAACTCATTTGTTTTATATTTAACAGAATTATTTCCATCAGAACTTCTTACACAATACCCATGTGAAAGGCTCTTTATAAATGCTGCATGTCTAGGGACCTATTATTTGATGGAGTACCCTTTCCTAACAAGATCTATTGTAAAACTCTATTGAAATTTTGAAAACATTTTTCAAAACCTGCCCAGGGCTCCTTGTGCCACTAGGCAATCTTTTATGTCTAGGTCATGGTTCCCTCTTTTGTTGCAACAAACCATAGTTAATTACTTTTAACTGGCTTTAGTGAGGGGGAACTAGATAATATCTTGAACTAACTTTATTTAATTTCATTACATTTACAAATGTACAACCCAAGTGCAAAAATAGTGATACTACCTTTATTGTTCATTTTAATTGATAGAATGAAGACTATATAATGCTACTAACATTCTTTGTAACAAATAGATATATATTTAATTTATAATGTTTACCAAAACCACTTTTCACATGTTCTTTTAAAATTTCAAATCAGGGCATTGTTACCAGCAAGCTGTTCTTGTCATTTGCAAAATAAGCAGAGGTCACATTTCTTGAGGCTATCATGTGAAATAGTTATATGTAGACATTTGCAGTCACTTTGAAAGCATTCATGAAAGTTATCAAGCATATATTGTTTTTATTCAGAAGAAAGAAGGCATGGTTTACTTCTGTCCAAATCGTTAGACAAGACAAAAGCTGTAGGGATCCATGGAAAGCCTCTGTGAACAGTGTCGACACTGTATAATACTCTGCAGCAAAGTGGCCATTGCCATCCAAGGCTCTCAAATCCCCCAATGTAAATAAAATCATTTAATATGCTACAGTAGGAGAGAAATGCTTCTGACTCATTGTCAAGGAAAAATATTGTTCAAAGTCAAAGGCCCAATTATGCTTCATTACAAGCAAATAATATTCTGGTTTCATTTGTTGTTTTAACATTTCTCCCTACATGGCATGCTGTGAACAGCAGAACACCCAGACAAGTCTAGGAGAAACTGAAGTTTCAATCAGGATAGTTATGTGGGTGTTTTATAAACAGATGAAGTAAACCTGCCCACTAGTTCTGACGTAGTGTATTGTCAAGATAGCATAATACCAAGTGCAAGAAATTAGGTGGTACAATCTGGTATAAAACAACACTAGCAACACATTTCAGGTATACTACAAGGCATCCCCAACATAAATGCCCCAAAAGAACATTGTCAGTGGTTATTTTCTGGCATTTTCAATAAATTCTCAATTATCATCCAAACAGTAATAATACTATAAAGGGAAACAAAAAAAGGTTGGTGAATATGAAGGTAGCTTGCTCACTATAAAGCTACCCAGTAAAAATTTACTACTCTATAATACTCAAGGAAAAATAATAGTGACTTTTTCAAGATAGGGTGTGACACAGTCAGTCTCACATCCTGGCTTTTTTGTGTGAGGGTCTGATACAATAAATCTTGGTTGAGTTAAGATTTGTGGTTGGAAGCCAAGTTACAGTTTGTACCAATTTCAGACATCTGTTCTGTGATATTGCTGAAAGCATCTCCTACCATATTAAGACTTATAGTCTTACTTTTCCAGTATGGCCCATCCCCTCTGTCTCTTACACTCTTTCCACCTTGTCTTCCATGGGGTTACCTGAGTTCTGAGGAGAGGGTTTTGATGGAGACATCCCATTTAGCTGTATGTTCCAAGGTCTATCTCTTTGTGTAATTTCTGGCTGTTGTTCCCATCTCCTACAGGAAGAAGTTTCTCTAATGATAAATGAATAAAGCTCTGCTCCTATGTCTGTTGACTATCTTTCTCTGGTTCTTGGTCACTCAGCCAGTATTAGACACAGGTTCCATCTCATGGAGTGGGACTTAAGTCAACTCAGATACGGGCTGGTCACTCCCACAAGTTTTGTACCACCATTGCAACTAGCATATTTTGCAAGAAGGACAACATTGTAGATGAGAGGTTTTGTTGCTGTAATGGTTTTTATAATTCTCTCTTGGTAGCCTGAAGAGTACCTACCTGTACAAAACACACAAGAACATAGGGATATAGGTTCTATATAGGCAAAGCTCAACAGCTCCATGTTCAGTGAGTTGTGTGGATATCACCATCAGCAATGGGGCTTTCCTGTTCATTTGCAGACTGTAACTCATGATCTTGCCAATTGCCTGGGTTGTTTAGGGGATTTCCATGGGACCTTTTGGCCAACAACTCAATTGTATTTAACCCTGTCCTGATATGAGAATCCCTGTTTGGTGACTTGGGATGTTTCTTCTTACCCAAAAGAGACTTGAGGAGAAAACAAAACGCTCAGAGCTATAAACAATTAGAGGAGACATAGAATACTGTCTTTACTTATTTCACTCAATATTAAATGTACAGGCTCACACATTCAAACTGTTCTGTGAGTCTCAAGTTATTTCTTTGTTTTATGCTAACTTTTCAAATCTCAAGATCCTGTGATTAAAAAAAAATGTTCACAGGTAGAAATAAAAAGAAGTGACAGAAAATTTATGAGACCAAATGACTCAAAGGGGAACATGAGAATACTGTTTTCTCAAGATCCAGAGCCTGTGAAGCTTGGAGATGGTTCAGTGGATAAAGGGCTTACTGTTCAAGCATGGAAACCAGTGGTTGGATTTACAGAACCCACGTATAAAACCAAGAAGGCATTGTGGCCACCTGTAATCCTACCATTTAGAACACAGATAGGAAATCCCAAGAATAAACTGGCTGGTCAAACTATCCAGAATTGTTAAGTTCCAGGTTCAAGGAGAGATCCTGTCTCTATAAATAAACTAGAAAATAATCAGAGAAGGTACTTGATATTAACCTCTGGCCTCCATATCCACATGCAAACAGCATATGCACTACACACATGTGAACATACACCAAAACAAGGTATACAAAATCTAAATAAATTTTGAGAACAGATTTAAATTTTTCTTCCCATCTGTCATAATTCCAGGTGTAATTTTTAAGTTATAAGTTGGAGGAAGCCTTTAGTATAATCCAAAAACAGACTTCAGGGAGCCTATGACTATCATGCAATGCTATGTGAGTATTTTTGGCTTGGAGTAGATGTGTAGTGTGAATTTCTTCTCACAGAAAGGTTTCATTAGATTCTCAGGGATGTGAGACCACAAAAGTAAGGAATTGTTTCTTGAGAGACAGGTGAGGTAGAAGTTGCCTTAAGATCAAAGGATCTAACCCTTTGACTTGCAAATGAACCAAAAAGGAAAGAGGGGGGAGTTGAGTTTGAAGCACTTCAGGAAGTAAAGGGGTCTGGCACTTTCCCAGAGACTAGTACTGAGAAAGGAAACTTCATGACAGCCTAGTCACCAGGGAAATGGGAAAAGGTTGTATTGGAGTGGAGATTGATGAGTGGAGAGAGGAAAGTTGGGACTGATACCAAAACGAAGTTTCTAGCACCAGTCAGCTGCAAAACAAAATGGGCTTCCCTTTTTCCTACATGTTCTTCCAAGCCTCATAAATCCTCAGCCCACATCCTGCAAAATACATCCAGACGAACAACCCTACTCCACTCAGGACCAGTGACCCCAGGGATGCAGCTGGTCAAATATCCTATGGATACTTTCTCAGGGTTCACACTAGACTGCAAGCTGCCCATAAGTAATGCTGCTCAGTCTTCTGAATCCACATTAATATTGAATCATAGACCTCTGTGGGGATCATTTTTGTATCTCTTCTATTAGAAGTTGGATGGAGTTGGGTGAATTGTGCTGGCTTTGCTGCTGCATTGACCTAATGATAAGGTTGTTGTCTCAGTTAAAGTAACTATTGCTTTGATGAAACACCATGGCAAAAAGCAACTTGGAGAAGAAAGGGTTTAATTTCACTTATACTTCCACATTACTGTTCATTGAGGAAAGTCAGGGCAGGAAGTCAAGCAGTGCAGGAACTTGGAGAGGACAGGAGCTGATACAAAAGCCATGAAGGAGTGCAACTCTACTACTGGCTTGGTCATCCTGCTTATATCACTCAAGACCGCCAAAGCCATGGTTTCCCCACTCACACTGAGCTGGCCTCTCCCACCAGTCAAAAATGCCCCCATAGACTTTTCTATAGTCTAATCTAATGGGGCATTTTCTCAATTAAAATGTCCTCTTCCGAAATGGCTCTAGTTTGTGTCAAGTTGACATAAAAATGAATCAGAATAGCTTCCTTCCATGTCTCCTTTGTTGAAAAAATACTGTCCTCAAAATGGTGCTGCCCTGGTAATAACAGAGATGCAAGGGACCAACAAAAATCCCCAAGCCTACTCTTGAAACAAGTACATTGTCATTTGTGTTCAAGCTTTTAATTAACAAGTCATATAACCGAACCCAAAGCCACAGGGCAAGGCAGTATATCCTTTCTTTTTAGAGGGAGCAGCTGCAAAACCACTTTGGCTCGGGTATGATCAGGAGAGATATAGGAGACAAAATGCAATGAACTGCATCTGTGTTGATCAAGCTAGGTTTTAGTCAGTACATGAAACACATACCTTCACCATCTGTAGGTCTCCTAGTTCATTAGAAACAAGCTTGAATGACCAGTATCATCCAGGAGAGAGTAAGACAGAGTGGGATTAATAAGTGATAATTTTTGTTTCTTCCTCATAATCCTTAATAAAACATCATGTGCATATTCAGAGCATAAGATGCCAGAAAAAAAATACCTTTGCTGCACCTGTTCACACAGACCAGAGTTTTCAATAAGCATTTTCAGTGGCTTGTCCCAGTCGAACACTCAAAGGGAACCTATATAATACAGACTGAACTCTCCATATAGATAACATACCGAGCACTATTTTTATTGGTTATGCCACATAAAAGGTGAGAAAACTCTCCATTTTCCAATGTTTAAAGTTCAAATAATCTAAAATTCTGTAAACATTGCCTGTCTTGTTGGCTTTGCAGGTCTGTGTAACTCGGCAGATAGCTGGATGATTGTGCCCAACATCAAGCAGAACCACTACACTGTACATGGCCTACAAAGTGGCACCAAGTATATCTTCATGGTCAAGGCCATCAACCAAGCTGGCAGCCGCAGCAGTGAGCCTGGGAAGTTGAAGACAAACAGTAAGTGCTATGAACTCAGCAAAGTTGTCATCTCACACTTGCTTGCCTCTGGGCTAACATTACTCCCCATCATTCTTTTACCTTTTCTGTTTTGTGCCTCACTGACAGCCTCAGAAAAGTAAATAAAGAGCCACTGTGAAATACTAAGGTTCCTAGCAGCTAGGTTCTAAAGTTGATCCTCTCTTCTAGGCTGTGTGGCCATTGATTTCTCTCCATACCATTGCTCTTTTTTCTTGAGAAAACAATCCTGGAGAAGTTCTTGTGAGAAACAGAACAGGTGCTTAGAAAGCTTGACACAGAGGCAGCCTCTGTAAATGGTAGATAGGATTTTTTTCTTTAGCAAGAAAACAAGTTCATAACTCTTTCTTCAGAAATTCCTTATTCTGTTCAAAATATAAGTCTGGGTCTTTAATTCTCAATCAGGGGACAAATCTGTCTTTTCTCCCACAATGCTAGCCCATGCAGGATTTAATAATGTCTAGAGAGATCTTTCTGGTTTGTCACAACAGGGGAGAATGCTGCCGGCATGAAATGAGCAGGAGTCAGACATAGCAAACATCTATGGTATACAGAGCAGCTCCCACTACAAAGAATGATGTAGCCTAGGACTGTGCCTTATGGTTCTGTAATTTTCCTTCTGCTGTCGCTGTCTCTGTCTACATGTGTTTTGTTTTATCCTCTCTTCTTTCTTTACATCTTTTGATCTAGAAATATTTTGCTATATAAATATGGTGCCAGTCGTGGGGTTGCTAATCAACAGAAACAGTGAGTTTTCAAAAGGAACTCCCACTTAACTATATCCTTGTTTCCCAGGGCATAGTAACACATGTGTTAACTTAAGGATAAGCAGAAGGTAGAAGAAGATCACTGGATTAAGCATGAGAAAGCTGAAATTCTGCCACAAGATATCTATGTGGCTATAAGACTCAAATATTTTTTTTCTTAAACAAAACCGTTTTATTTTGTGATGATTTTAGATTCCCAGAAGAACTATAGCCGTTACAGAGAGGTCTGTATACCCTTTCCTCAGCTTTCCTTAGTATTAACATCATAGATAACCTTGACACATTTGTCACAACTAAGAAGTTAACATTGGTACAATTCCTCTTGCCTGTGCCCTAGGCTCTATTCAGATTTTACAGTGTTATCTCTAACATTCAGTTCCTATCGCAGGATCTAGGCTAAGAACCCATATCACATTTAGTGGTTCCCTACCTTTTTCTCGTTTTTTAAAAGAAGTTTTTGGTTCTTCATTTTAAAAATAGAAATATGTAGCCACATTTAGAAGCTGTCACACAGATAAATTTGAAACAATTTTGAGAACAGCATTACAATATTATGCCATGTTTTGTTAAAACCATATACCACATGGAAATGAATGTATGCACACTCATCTCAATAGCTTTTTATTTACACTCTAGCATCCATTTGGTCTTTCAAAAATGTTGGAGTTCCTAGTAAATTTTAGATGCTACACAATGGACTGAGAATATTGTGACAACATTCAACTTCAGATGTTCTTCTCTCAAGGAATTTGTAGACTTTTGGAGAAGACAGAATACTAAGTGTTAGATTTTCGAGCGTAGCTTAGGCAGATAACGCTAGACCAAAAGGTTCCATGAGGCGGGGGGGTGGTGGGGGTGGGGGGGGGGGGGGGGGATATTGAGGGGGGCGGGCAGA